CCCGAGCCTTATCTATAGTTTCTTACCTTGCAACACTCAATCTTTCATGTCAGACTTTCAGGTTTTTGGATTCTAGATCATTACACGTAAATCATGTCATCCACGTGACCCATAACAATATGGAGAAAGAAAAAATTGATAAATGGTATCTAGCTACTAGTTTACTATTGACTAGTAAGAGTGCTCGCTGGAATGGATGGTGATATATATGAAGATGTAGTTAGAGAATTCAGGTTTTTGTTGTACTGGATCTGGAAACCAGTTTAAGTTGAGGTATAAACTGTGGGTCTTTCCTTACTAGGGGCCTTGACCTAATAAGGCATGATCAATCTGCGTCGATCCTTTGGAGGTGGTAAGCTGATCACAATTTTTGATAGAGTTTTGGGAGATAATTAAAACAAGAGAAAATTCTATTATCATTCCTCTTGAGTTGGGTAATGATGATATTATCAAGTATTTAAAACAAGAGCTCTTGACTAATCATTTACTTTTTGATCAATATTAAATGGTAATCTAAGTTCTTAGTAAATAAAACCCTACTTTTGGTACTGCTGACTGATGTTCTTGCCATTGTACCTCTTCTTCATTCAGATGGCTTTGTAAATGGCTAGTAATTATAGAGAGGTATGCCTAGAACTTTTAAAAATGTAGCCACCCTTGTCACAAATTTACCTCTCAATCATAAGAGATTTTGGTTTGATCTTTTTCCTAAGTTAAATCCACTAACTTGACTAGAGTAAAGACTTGATATACCATAAGATTGATGGAATGGTTTAGTAGGAAAAAGAGTGGAAGGTCTTGGAAGAAAATCTTGGAAAAGAAAAAAGCTGTCTATCAGTAGAAAGAATATAAAATAGGGGGATAAAGATAAACAGGGGAAAAAAGAAGAGGTGGGTAAAGTTTAAGGAATTAGGAAAAATTAAGAATAATAAAGGTATTATTGTCTATAATGACTCAGGCATACACAAAGCCTTGTTTCAGGAGTGTCCTCTCCCCTAAGAACATTTTCCTTTGTCTCAGATATTTGCCATGTATAGAGTGCAAGTCTGCTCGCATTTCCCTAGACATAATACCTTCTATACATTAACAAGTCAGATAACAAAGCCTCGTGTGATATTAGCACATCTCAAACTTTGTTCACTGTATAGTTGTTATTTGCATGCATGAAGTAAAGAAGGGGGGAAGGAACAAAGAAAATCTTCTAAAAAGGAAATTTTCACAAAGTAGAGTGAAGTGGAAAAGAGTTTTTTTATTAATAATGATTCTCTGAATTTTTCATTATTACTATTATAAAAAAATATATATATTTATTGTAAGGTAAAGGTAAAATTTACTACTTTATTTGTTAACTTGATTTATAGATACCTAGAATATGTATATTAAGTTTTTATAAAAGTTTGTATAACCTTTATTGATTCAGGCTGGTATTAATTTTTCTGATATTGCGTATTTCTATTGAAATGATGTTAGTTATTGTAGAGTTATATATGCCATACTTGTTATATAACATATATCTTTTTCAATTCTATTAATAATATTCTTTTTGAATATACTAATAAAATCCTTTAGTGATATGTCATATGTTATATAGGGAAGGATTGTATTGGTATCTGCTTTTTTCTTTGGGGTTATATCTTTTTTTCAAGATAAACTTAATTCCTCTTGTGAATTAGATTCTTTTCTGATATACTTTGATTAAACTGAATACTAATTTCAAAAATGATTATTCTATTACCTCCCTCTTACCCTATTTTAACTATCTATTTTTTTCTCAATTAGATTTATTCTATTATTTAATTATTTAAATTATTCAGTTACTTGAAATAGGTTTCTTAAAGAATAATTACTAATGACAACCTATTAATAATGATATTTAAATTAAGAGAATATTTATTCAAAATTTATTACAAAACAAAATATTGTTTCCAAGGTCACATTTAGAGGCTGAGGCTTTTTTGAGAATTGAAAGCTATTGGCAAGTAAGTTAACATGAGATTTAATTTAACCATAATATAATTGCTCAATATATCCCTATCATTTTTATAATGATCAATAAACATACTATGCTGGCCTGACTATGGATATTACAAAAAAAAAAAAAGAAAAGCCGTATTGGCCTAACAGTAGATTAAAAAAAATAAAATAAAAAATGAAATTTATAATAAAAAACGGTATGTGAACTAACAGTTTTAAAATAATAAGTTTTTATTTAATATAGCTGTTACACGACTAGGTGATAAGCATATCAATAAATCAGAATCTAAATCAGCGCACATGCTTTCGAAAAATTGGTCTCGGTTCAAGCGCAAGCGATTTTGTCACACCTCAAAATTCGACGTCTTCAGGACAGAAAACACGGGGAATAAAGATTTGAAGATTAAACGCAGGGTAATTGGACCGTTTCCAAGAGACTTAAGATCAAAGTTATATTCGCGAAACGATTATACGCTGCGGTGGCGTCCTTGGAATTTAAACTCTGGTCGAAAATGGAATGCCCGGGAAGACAACATACTCTTGAGGAGAGGTGCCATGTACGGGTGGAAGCACTGGGGCGTAATATCGCAGGGCTTGTTAAACAGGTCGTCATTTGAATGTCTATGTCGGTGGAAGAGCCTCAAGTTTCTGGTCGACTGGTCATACACCGAAAACATTTTTTTCGAGCCAAAGGATTTCGAATTATTCTTGAAACAAGTGTCGAAACATGGTGCCAATTGGAAAGAGGTCGCTCGGGGAATTGGGAACAGGTCCGCGATTCAATGTGAGAATCTTTATTACAACATGCAATTATATTTATCGGAGAATAAACAGTGTGCACCGGCTAGTTTTGAAAAGGTGAAAAGGATTGTGGAAAAAGTCGGATCAATGGAAGGTGGTAAAAGTGTAATTTACAAACGATCCAAGTGGGACCCGGAAGATCTCAAGAAGCTCAAGAGCATCGTGAGACAGCAACCTTATTACAATGTGATCTGGCGTATCGTGGCAAAAGAATTCCCGGGAAAAACGGCAGATCAATGCATGGAGGCATGGATTCGCACTTGGGATGAAGTGGAAATTCAAAATCTTCGAGATGCAGTTACGAAATACGGAGATGATTGGGACACCGTCTCGGAACAGGTGGACGGACGAACACCGATACAATGCAGGGACCGGTGGAAAAAAATGAATACAGCAACGGTCCGAGAAAGACCTTTTACGGAAACCGAATTTCAACTTCTTCTTCGTGTGATGAACAATCCACCTATTCGCAGGGATTTCAAAATCGATTGGCTACATATAACAGAAAAATACTTTCCGGATCGTACCCCGTCACAATTGCTTAAGAAATGGGCGGGCATGTGCAGGAAACCGTGGACCAAACAGGAAACAGAAACCCTCTTGCAAAAATGTAAGGAGTACGAACATATTTCAGATGAAAATCAGAAATGGAAAGAGGTGGCAAAACACATTTTAGGGCGTAAGCCTTCAGAGTGTCTAATGAAGAAAAAACTGAGTGAAATAATTTACAGGAGTTTGACGCTGAACGAGTACATCGAGCTATTTAGCGCGGTGAAGAAGCATGGAACAAATTGGAAAGTGATTTCCAAGATATTAAAAAGGCGACCGGATTTACTCGCAAAAGAATATGAAAAAATACAAAAAGGGGATCAAAAATTGTACAAGTTTTTGGTCAAGTATGAGTCGAATCTCTTTAAACGTGAGGCAAATTTTTCGTCCACTAATTAAGATGCGCGGATATAGAAATCTTGGAAATTTAAACGAGCATGATAATTGCAGCCCAGTTCTTTTTCTTTATCATTGTTTTTTGTTTATTTGTTTTCATAATTTACATGATAAATGATAAATAGTTATCTGTTATAATAATTAATGTGTTAGGATACTAAGCTCGACATTTAAGCGGGTGAAGTAAATGAGGGTGAATGTGTAAAATACCGAAATATTAAAAAGTTCATTCTTTTAAGTAAATAAAAAGTCCGTCCAGTTTTTTTCCCAAAACGCAAAATAACGAATCAAATTGTCCAGCAAGTTTCTGGCTATTAGGTATAGATATATCAGATAACTCGACCATATTTACAAGAAAATGAAGGCATATAATGTTCATATTTATACGCGGTTCTCTCCTCCACCACCAGACCGCTTTCTCCCAAACACAACGTGAATATTACAAGACGATTTGTACTCGTTAAACTCCCGCTTCACTTCCTCCAAATATTCGTCATATTGTTCATTCGTGATGCCCCAAGCGGGTACCATCATCGGTTGCACAGCCTTAGAGAGCATTATCAGGTCATCAGCCATCGCGTTACCGATTTGGTTACCCCACGCACCGATGGGCACTTGACGTTTGAGGTGAGTAACACGATCCAAAGAGGCGGGCTTGTGGTTGTTATATAGTTGTTCGACACGACTCGAAATTGTTAGGTCAATGCGTTTCGATCTCATTGTCGTGATCCCTGAAAATTAGAGAGATGAACGGTGAGAAAATGCAACTTCGTGCAACTTCGGCAGCGATCAAGAATTTGTTAACCGACGGGGTAACTTACATGTATCGCACAGTTTTGTGGATATCGGACCTCTGTTTGACCCGGGAATCTCAAATTCCGTGCTCTAACAGTTTAAATAAAGAGTCAACCAACGAGTCACCGAGATCGATGTAACTATTTTTTCAAAAAAAAAAACCCCCCTACCTCAATGTAACCACCAGGTTTACAAACCCTTATCAATTCCTGCAGGACCTTGTTTTCCCACTCATCCACACTTAGTGCGGTGACCATATTCCGAATGACCACAAAATCAAATGTGTTATCATTAAACGGAAGGCCTTCGAGTAAATTGGCTTCTTTGAACTCCACATTTGGTGGTTTTATCTCCTAATTAGTAGAAATAGTATTAGGGTCTTGAAGTTTCAAAACGAAAAACCGAAAAAAGTGTATTCACCTGAGGATACATGGGTGAAATATCAATGCCGAAAAACTCGGAGTTCGGATATTCGGACGCCATATCTAATGACCACGTTCCCGGACCGCAGCCCACATCCAACACCTTTGCACCATTTTTCAGCCGAATTTCCACTGGTGCGCAGTAGTTTGAGCGTAATATGGAACGGGCGACATAATGTTGTATGGTGAGTCGATCTATTTCTTTGTCGTCACTGGGGAGGTGATACGAGGAGTTGTCAAGGTAACGACGACCATCAATGAAGTGGTACGATGAGTTTGACGAATTTGATTTTAGCGAAGATATTGATTTTGCATGTTTTGAGGAAAATGAGGAGGATGAGGAAAATTTAGATGAGGTGGTGGAGGGGTTTTGACGTTTGTGAGAGCGAACGCGCCGGTTGCTACTATTTACACTTGTCGGTTTTGAAGTTTTGCGACGTTTTATTATTGATGTGCTGAGGAGATTACCCATTTTTGTGGTGGCGGTTGGTTGTATCGCTTGTAAATCACAAACAGTTCAGGTATAATGAAAGGTTAAAAATTTGGTGATGGATTGATGTTGAAGAAATGATGTGTCTCTCTTTGAAAGAAGGTGTAGGTAGTGTGATGATTTTTATGGGCAATTGCGTAAGATCGTGAATTTATTAAAATGATATGGAGGTATGCGTGAGAAGCAATTGAGATGTTGAGTATCTTTCGCGAGAAAGTCGATGTTTATATATAATGAATAAAGACCCCTGAGAAAAAAATTTTTTTTTTTTTTTTTTTTTTTTATGGCATTTCGGCGTTTTTTGTTCTTAATATACATAAATGCTGGCTTTTTTTTTTTTTTATCTTATTTCAATTATATAAACGCGCATACATGATTTTTCCTTCTCTGTGTAAATGCGTTCACAATGCATTTGCTTGTACATACTAAACTAAATTTGTCAGTAAATGGATTTTGTGTGTTAACCAAATCACCCGTGTGATGCGATTACGCTAAAGTCTTGGATCGCATATATGCACCATCCGGGAGTATTTTACGGCACCTCGGGTGATGCTACTATTTAGGTCATGTGTGGTAGTACGGTGACACCGGATGACTATCTGCTGACTCACGATGTACAAGTGACGATTTGGTGACACCGATTCAGAAGGCAACTATGACCATAATAGAATCGTGTAAATGGGTTAAAAATATGCAGTATATACAGCATATATTTTTTTTTTGTCGTTTGAAACATTGTTTCGAAAGAGCGAAGGCTTGGAAAGAATGATTCGCGGACGTTCAAGTTCCGCAGACTGGCTGAATAGTTTCCGACGTCCACGGTTGTTTCGCACCGATCTATCTATCTATCGCCGGCATTTTCCTACTTATCTCTCGCTATATTGTCGCATGATTACGTATTATTTATCGTAGTTGGTTGATTATGATATAATACCGGATCGGAAACGTGTGATTAACGAAAATATTCCTGTTTGCGAAAAAAAAAACTTTTCACAATGAAATCAGTCTTCCGTATATATCAACTATTTATGAAAGCGCAAACGATTTTTCCGGAATTGGAACACAAGTGATTGTAAGGTTGATAAGGTGAAAAATAGAAAAATATAAATATAAATGAATATAAAAAAATAAAGAAAATTAATCCTTCAATGACGATTTTCTTATCACCGTTTTTTGGTTTAATTTATTCCTCGACAGAAAAGCGAAGATTAATATTACCATATATGGTGCCTTATTCTTGTTGTTGATGCAAAGTAATTCAACAATGGACATTTACATCCTGCCGTGCCACAGTTACACAAAAAGAATTTCCAAGACCTTTCCTCATTTCGATATAATGAACATTTATAAATGGGTTACCTTTCATGCATGCATAATTACATTTTTCAGAATTTTCTTTATGGCTTGGCAGTGTGGCTAGAAAGCAGGGGTGGGGTAAGATCGGTATGATCGGCATTTGTTTTCCCGGTCGGAGTTTGGACACCAGTTCTCTTTCTATATACATGATCGTAAAATTTAAAGGTTCATTGTATGAGGATGAAATAGCATTTATTCTGATTTTTGTTCATACAACTGCGAAAAGTTTGCTTCGAATGGATGATAAATATAGCGATTAAAGGGATAGGTGTTTGGGTTTCAGCATATATATGATGGTCCGTGCTGCAATAGACGGCAAGACTTTGGTAAGCCGATAGCCTCTCATTTATGATTTGCTCACATGCAAGATGTACAGTATACTGTACAGTATGTGATTTCGCGCATACACGGACGCAGTTGAGGCCCCCGCTTATACCCACTGCGCGCAAAGAATACACCCAATTACAGCATTTTACCCCAGACGGAAAGATTTCATTTATTTTCTTGCATTTGGGGTCGATGTATGGGTGAAAAAGGTGAGATGCTAATTAATTCCCTTATTGATGTCGCCGACAACGCCGCACAGCAACCTATTGGATTCCATTGTTGTCATATGCCGTGTTTAATCTGATCGTGTATCACATACATACAGTATATTAAATAAACACATACTGTACGTATATCCCAAAGACAAATAGAAAAAGGGAAAGAGCGCTAATAGTTGCATCCGAATTCGGAAGACAAACTCGCGTTTAGCTGTTAATTCAGGAAAACCATTGATTACTAGCATTGCGGCTGATCACGTGATTTGACTAAGTCTGACGTCACGTTAGTGCTCATGCACGTTAAACGCGTAGGCTTCGTAGATGATCTAATCAAAAAAA